CGTTGTCACCGAAAACGCGGGACCACATGAGTAACGTCCAGCTGTAATTACAGCCAGCAAGGCATTTAAAACACCGGCTCTCTGCCCAGGCAGCCCGCCAGTTCCGCCACAGAGAAGCAGTAATCTGTTGGCGGCTTTCAAGTGCCCTGGAAATGGTTGGTCACCCAGCTCGACTCCACTAGCCACCCTGTGCATGTGGTCAGAGGCTTGTGAGTCGGCTCGCGTTGGCTCTCTTTGTAGTGAGTTAGTCACGCCCGCAGGCCACTGCGTTCTGGCTATTACCAGCACAAACAGCATGCGCAAGCACCATGCTTGTGGGGTCACGGAGAAAACGGACAAGAGTTCCGTCGATAGGCTGCGACCGGCTGATGGATCGATGTGAGCAGGTTTCGCTTGTTTGTTGCAGACGGACATTTGCATAAGCATCGCATTCAACGCCGAGAACACAAAGTTCACCGCTGAATACAAGACAAAGCGACGAACATATATGGAATGCCTCTGCAAAAAAGGCGTCGAAATGAATAAGCTTTTATTACAACTTAACAGCTGAGGCTGTGTGGCGTCGCCAATTTCCCACTCTGGCAGAAAGTGTGCGCTCCTTGGAAAGCTGATTCGAGACTCCCCGTGAGATCGCTGAGCTGCCACCATTCTGAATTCATGCTAGGAAAATAAAATAAGCGGAGGTTATTTAACCAGGCAAAGTGATCTTGGGAATAAAACGCCTACATCGTACGTTGTAATCATTCTCAGCCGGATGGGCTGAGACGCCCACCAATGTCTTTCCTAGATACGCCACCGCCTCCTCACAAGTGGTCCAGGTATGCCACTGCCCCCTCACGTCTGTCCTGAGTATGCCGCTGTCTTCTTGTGCCTGTCTTTAACGCACCGCAGCCCCCTTCACATTTTCCCTTGGTACGCCACTGCCCCCATTGCGTCTCCCGCGGGCGCGCCTCTGCCGCCCGCCGTCTCAGCTGCGCGCGTTATCAGCAGCATCGATCGGCATTTCCCCTGCCGCCGTGACCTAATCTACCGCGCCAGGTCCAGCTCCGCCAGGGGCCACGCGGCTACACACACCGCCGTGGCCCAATCTCCCGCGCCAGGTCCAGTTCCGCCAGGGGCCACGCGGCTCCACACACCGCCGTGACCTAATCTCCCGCACGAGGTCCAGCTCCGCCAGGGGCCACGCGGCTCCACACACCGCCGTGGCCCAGTCTCCTGCGCCAGGTCCAGTTCCGCCAGGGGCCACGCGGCTCCACACACCGCCGTGGCCCAATCTCCTGCGCCAGGTCCAGCTCCGCCAGGGGCCACGCGACCCCTTCACACACCGCCGCTGGGCCAGGAAGCGGCGCCGCCAAACCCGCGACCCACCGCACCTTGCATGGTCCGCTGTAGCCGCCCGCTCCTCCGAAGGTGCGTCGGAGAGCGATACGCCCTCCGGCACTGTTCCAGATGACGCTAATCGGCCCCAGGGGACGCGTCTGGCTGCTGTCTGTCGGAGGCTGTACTCCAGGACCGTTCCCTGTGAACCTCATCCCATCGTCTCCACTCCAGCTGCCGGGCACAGTCCAGAACGCGCCCGTTGACGCGACGAACACCACTTGGCCTCGTGAGCACCGTGGACGACTTCACAAGCGGGGTCTACCGGGGGTCTGGGGATTTCTGGGTCACTCGGAGCCGGCTTACCATGGCCCTCTGGCCGCTCGAGGGGGACACTGGCGCCGGGCAGAACACCCGCCGACTCTGTCAGAGGTCGGACAGGTCAGCACCGTAGGGCGCCACCACCGAGGACAGCCCACCCGCCTTGTCACCAGTGGGGGGACAGGTCAGAACGCAGGAACGGTGACAGCAGGGCACAGGCCATCAGATGCCCCGAGGCAGGACAGGTCACGTGCCAGAGGGAGTGAGAAGGACGATAAGGCTCTTCCACACCGTCAGAGACAGCACGAGTCAGCACGCAATGGGTAGGGGAGGAGTCATCATCTCGTCCGGGAGTGAGCCAGATCGGTGCAGAGTGGACATACCAATACCCTTTCAGCCAAGCAGGCCCCATTTTGTCACTATAGAGGCCCTGGTTATAGGCTAGGGGATATTTTTAATCCCGATATCTCTTTCTGATGCTTCAAGGGCTCATTTTGGATGTTTTAGAAGTCTTACGGGATCCTACGGAGTCTAATTCCGCCAAAAAGTACCAGTATTGGGCAGCAGAGACCCACGCCACCGCCAGGGGTGGGGATGGCCCAACAGCCCCCCCCCCCCCCCCGCCCTTGGTTACGTCACTAGTAACGGGCATCGTTTATCGTAAAAGTTACTAACACTGCCAGAGGCCGTACAGGTCAGGACAGGCGCAAGAACAGGGATGGACAAAGCAACAAGACCACAGCCACGACAACAATCGCCACGATAGCAGCCTTGAGAATGCTCAATGCCGACGCACAATGGACTGTTGTTCCAGAGAGCTAGCCCATCCTGTAGACGTCTGAATAGTGCCGAGATATGGGGCCCCACCGCCTCGACAGTTGTTGCCGAATCAACAGTCGCGCCGCAGAGCCCAAATAACAAAGTGTGTGGTGGCGCCGGCCGCTCGTACTCACCCGGCATAAAGTTGTCCGGGTCACTGGGCTCCATCTTGGCCGTCGAGCCGCAGTACTTGATGTTCTTCAGGGTGTTGGTCACCTTCAGCAGCTCCTTGTTTTCCTTACCCACCTGTGAACAGGACCACCAAACGATTAGAGCAGCCCGTGCCGACCGCTGTGATGGCGCGGCCAGCCTCAGCTGCCGGCGTGCCCAAACAGCTTACTTCCGCATCACCGCACGGTCCGTATCCAGTCACTTCCAGCGGCTACCCGGGGCAGTCCGTCCCATCACCCGGCTCCGTGGCTAAGGTCGACCACATGTTTCTCGTTTAAAGCGAAGAAGGTGGGCATCAACGAGCGGTCAGCGGACCAGCGGACCAGCAGACCAGCGGACCAGCGGTCTCCCTGGCGCACCCGAGTCGGCGGGAGTCGCATCACCTGGCGGGCCCCACAGCGCCAGCCGGTGCCCGAGCCTGGGCCGCCTGGCGGGAGTCCGCGATCCCATCCTCTCGGCTACCACACCGCACAGTTGGCCTACCGTCCACTGCCGTTCACACGTGCGCCTGTCCATCCGCTTGCGATGTCTGCGTGGTGCGTAAGGAAATTCCTCAAATGCGTCACAACGAAGCAACCCTCAGATGTGGTGGCCATGTGAGCAGGCCGATACACGCTTAACGCGTCACTTATGACAAACAGTTGAACATCTCTGGATGACAAGATCTCTGTTTTAGATGACATCTGAATCTTACAGCTTTAGACGATAAGATCTAGACCTAGATTATGGGCTAGACCAAGACCTAGATCTAGATCTAGAGATTACAAATATCTAGATGACAGGATCTGGATTCCACGTTTCTTGATGACAAGATCTAGATCTCACGTCTTTAAATGACTACCCCTGTTGGTAAACTTCAAACATCCGACAGGCGCCTTGGGTCTGCAAATAACCAAGATGGCCCACCTAGTACTAAGACGTGTCCAAGGTGGCCAGGTCGCATTGCTCATGCATTTGCGTGTTTCGGAACAGTTTTACTAGAAGTGAGCGTTCATAAGTTCCTCCAGAGGGACGGAAGGACAGGCACACATCCTTTCGAACTTTCCCAGATTTCAACAACACGGCTATTTCGTGCGGGGGCAGAAACGGTTTTCTGCAGCTTACATGGAACACCTATAGTCATCGAACAATCGTGTTTTTATTCGTCCATGAATAGACTAATCTTGCTCAGGAAAACGTGCCCAATCCACCGACCGGTGGTATAATTTGATTTATATTTAAAAGTCATTAGCGCAAGAGCTTAAGTGACATAAAGATACGCTAAATCGCATTATTCTGGTTAGGTTTAACAACGTGCATCAGAAATTACCATCTAGTTTGAATTCGTTGGCTGCTGCAGTCAATTTCGTTGAATTTAAGACTTCTTCGCCAATCATCAGCATATTTCAAAGAACGCATGCTCAAAACATGCTAGCACCCTGAGTGCAGACCATCCTTCGACGGAAGGGTATTTACGGATGGCATCAATATGCATAGCAGCGCATTGGATGTGCCGATAAGCCAGCTGTTGGCTGCGGGCGCCAGCCGACCGGCGCTGGTCGTTGGTGACCTCAGAACGTCCCCTGACGCCTCGGGGCAGCAGACCGGCGCTGGTCGCTGGTGACCTCGGAACGCCCTCTGACGCCTCGGGGTAGCCGATCATCGCTGATCGTTGGTGACCTTGGCATGCCCTTTGACGCCTCGGGGCGGTCGATTGGGCGCTCGAGAGCGCACCGGTGTGGAGCCGATTCAGCGCTGTCCGGTCCACTGGCGGGCGCCGAGCCTCCCTGCCCGGCGCCCTAACCAGCGGCCACGACCACCCGATCACGCTCAGAGTACGCGGCGCTGGCTGCCCGCGCGGCCGTGGTCGCCTCCGCCTCGGGCAGAGTAGCAGGGTCGCCGTCTGCCACCTGCCGCTCTGCCCGTCCAGCGGCGCCTGGCAGCGCGACGCCTGGCAACTCGGCGTCTGGCAACTCAGCGCCTGGCAACGCGACACTTGACAGCTGTGGCCTGGCAACAGGGAGCCCACACGGTCCGCTGTCGGCAGCCCGGCCCGGCGAGCGCCCCAGGCGCCGGCGTTCGCACCTGCCGGGCCTTCGGTGGCAACCGACCGCGACCAGCATCGATTGTCGGTCGGCGCTGGTGCCAGAGCTGCCCACCAGCGGGACGGGATGACCGCAGGCTCCCGCAGGCGCCCGCAGCAGGCTCCCGCAGGCTCCCGCAGGCTCCCGCGGCAGACTCCCGTAGCAGGCTCCCGCAAGCTCCCGCGGCAGGCTCCCGCAGGCTCCCGCAGGCTCCTGCAGCACGCTCCCGCGGCAGGCTCCCACGGGCTCCCGCAGCAGGCTCCCGCAAGCTCCTGCGGCAGGCTCCCGCAGGCTCCCGCAGGCTCCTGCAGCAGGCTCCCGCGGCAGGCTCCCACGGGCTCCCGCGGCAGGCTCCCACGGGCTCCCGCAGCAGGCTCCCGCGGGCTCCCGCAGCAGGCTCTGCTAGACGGCCCGGTGCACAGGCTCCTAGTGTCCAGCCGCATGTCTGACCCATTGAATCAATCGACGTCATGATGGAATTGATACCGGTGCTAATGTTGAAGGTCCGTGAGCGTAGCTGGCATCCAGCAGCTCCCGCGCAAGAGAGGAAAACAAAAGAACTTGCTGGGGAGAGAAAACCTCTGACGTTCGCGCAAAGCCAGGATCCGCTCTGATGGTTTGTCGAAGTGACCCAGCGTTGGAAGACTACCCCTTTACTCTCCCATCTGCAACCTCTGATTGTGGATTGGTGGACAGTCTCTTGGTCTGGCCTCTCCAGGCTGGTCTCCATTCAGTGACAGTTGGCAAGACATAACCGCCGAGTTCTGCAAACCGCAGCTCCGCGCCCGAGAGGGAGCATCCCCGCAGCTCCGTGCTCGAACGGGAGCATCTCCGCAGCTCCGCGCCCGAACGGGAGCATCCCCGCAGCTCCGTGCCCGAACGGGAGCATCTCCGCAGCTCCGCGCCTGAAAGGGAGCATCCCCGCAGCTCCGCGCTCGAACGAAAGCATGCTACGGCCTCAATTACGAGACACCCCACAGCCACGCTGGCTGTCTGTGTCAGGTGTCCGCCAGTCTCACAGTCACACTGACTGTCAGGTGTTCGCCAGCCCCGCACCCACGCTGGCTGTGTCAGGTGTCTGTCAGCCCCGCATCACGTGGCTGGATGTCAGGCCCGAGCACTCGTACACACGCTGACACAGCAGACCCTGGACGGGGTCAGGATGGGAATACCCAAAATGGCCGCAGCACTACCCCTCCCCCCCCCCCCCCCCCCCCACCTCTCATCTCCCTCCATATTCTCATCGCTCCGAATTGGTTAAGAGATCTGACTCAACCAAAGCTGATCTGCACGAGGATAAAGACAGTCTCGTTTCCAAAGAATCCTGAATTAAGTATAAGTATTGCAATACGGATAAAGATGGTCAAAGTCCTGTTTTAACAAGACAAACAGGACAAACAGGGCAAACAAGTCCTGCTCCACACCAACGTGCTCCAACTGAGGCACCTGGGTCCCCGTTAAGTTGTTGAGTTGCTGCCATGCCATTGCCGTGAGGTCACCACGTGCAGCAATGCCGCAGCCAGGCTTAATGCTATGCTGGACGCCCCCCCCCCCTCCCCTCCGCTCCCCACCTCGTCGCCGTAGTACTCGCCGTCCGGGCTATTTGCTGCATTGCGCCTGCCTCGGCGTGCACAACAGTGCAGGCGCGCCTGCCGCCGCTGCCGCCAGCTCAGGTGCCACGCCGCACGGCGTGGTCAGCAGGGAACTGCGTAGTACCCGGCCGCAACCTGGCCGCTCGGGCATGCTTCATTCGCCAACAGAAACGAATGAGTCGGCGTCGGCGCATCCGCTTGCGACTTGTTCACGTTGTGAATCGCTCGTCGCGAAATGTTTGACGAGTCAGGAGCAAGCGATACGATTGAGAGAGGACAGAGACAAACGCGGGGCAGTTGTGCACATTACTGGAGTGAATGAGTTTACGGCCCTGGCTTTTCTTGGCCTTAAAGACAATAATATTTTGGCGCTTCGAAACGTCCAGAAGACTTTAAGAGATCGTTGACGATCTTGATCGATGCATTACTGCGATAAAAACCGCCAGCAGCCGTCGACAGTCAATCCCCACATGGTCTTGCCGACAAAATACCACCACAGAAATGTGGCTGTAATGTCGTCTGCCCCTGACGCTCTGCCTCTCCCGGCTCGCTCGGTCCGATACGCACACTGCCGACCTCGCCTGCCCGACTCCCACGTCGCCGTTCATCAGAGGCGAGGGCCTTGACCTGGGGAATATTGCTGCTCGCCTTGCAAACTGCAAATCTGGCTCGGTTGGCTGCTCGGGGCGAAAAATGTGGCCGTGATGCGGCCGCAAACGCCGGCCGACGGGCCGCCGGCCGACCGCGTCACGTTCGCCGCGAGCAAGGAGGCGGAAGTGGGCTATCAGGGCATATCCGGCGCAGTGGTGAGTCCAGTGAGCCGGGGGAGCTCGGCTCCGTTCAACGCGGGGTGACGAGAGCGAGGCAGTGCTCCGCGCGGGGTCACGAGAGCGAAGCCCTGCTACACGCGGGGTCACGAGAGCGAGGCTGCGCTCCATGCGGGGTCGCGAGAGCGAGGCTGCGCGACACGCGGGGTCACGAGAGCGAAGCTGTGTTCCACGCGGGGTCACGAGAGCGAAGGTGTGCTCCACGCGGGGTCACGAGAGCGAGGCTCCGCTCCACGCGGGGTCACGAGAGCGAGGCCTAGCTGGACAGCTGCAGGTGACACAGATTGGTGTATGTAGATCAACAGACTGGCACAGACATCGGCAGAATGGCGTAGCCAGCAAACTGATATGGAAGGAAGGGCCACATCGGCCAATCGACGTGGATAGATCAGAACACGTCAGCGAAAAATCAAGTTATAGAGACACGGGGTACGCTGGACTGAAATACACAGCTTGGCAAGCTTGCCCAGACAGGTAGGCAGGCTGGCAGAAACCGATCTGCGGCCTTTAGACAGAAGCAGATAAATTGATTGACAGCAGTGCTATCAGCAGGCTTCTATTGCAGACGTGAGCAGGCGCCAGAGGAGCCAGATGTCTATTAGCGGTTCGTTCTCCTTACCACGCCCTGTTTGTTGTGGGCTTGAGCCAGAATGCCTTGGTCAACACAAAACTCTGTCATCTCTGTTTTCTCTGGATAGAGGGAGGCGTTCGTTCCTCATGCCCCGGGGCTCCAAGTGAACCTGGTGTCCTATTTTAGTAGTCATTAGCCTCGCGGTCCGAGACGAGCGGCCCGCGGTGGGGCGGGTGGTTGGGCTGGTCCTCAAGAACGGCCGCAGGCCAGCGGAGGGCGCCGCCCACCAGAGTCGAGCCGGCGTCAGAGTCGAGCCGACGCCAGGGCCGGGTCGACGCCAGGGTCGGAGGTCGGGTCGACGCCAGGGTCGAGTCGACGCCAGGGTCGAGTCGACGCCAGGGTCGGGTCGACGCCAGGGTCGAGTCGACGCCAGGGTCGGGTCGACGCCAGGGTCGAGTCGACGCCAGGGTCGGGTCGACGCCAGGGCCGAGTCGACGCCAGGGTCGGGTCGACGCCAGAGTCGGGTCGACGCCAGGGTCGAGTCGACGCTAGAGTCGGGTCGACGCCGGGGTCGAGTCGACGCCAGGGTCGGGTCGACGCCAGGGTCGAGTCGACGCCAGGGCGGGTCGACGCCAGGGTCGGAGGTGGTCGACGCCAGGGTCGGAGTCGGGTCGACGCCAGAGTCGAGTCGACGCCAGAGTCGGGTCGACGCCAGGGTCGAGTCGACGCCAGAGTCGGGTCGACGCCAGGATCGAGTCGACGCCAGAGTCGGGTCGACGCCAGGGTCGGAGGTCGGGTCGACGCTAGGGTCGGAGGTCGGGTCGACGCCAGGGTCGAGAGTCGACCAGGGTCGGGTCGACGCCAGGGTCGGGTCGACGCCAGGGTCGAGTCGACGCCAGGGTCGAGTCGACGCCAGGGTCGAGTCGACGCCAGGGCCGGGCCGACGCCAGGGTCGGAGGTCGGGTCGACGCCAGTGGTCGGAGGTCGGGTCGACGCCAGGGTCGAGTCGACGCCAGGGCCGGGTCGACGCCAGGGTCGGAGGTCGGGTCGACGCCAGGGTCGGAGGTCGGGTCGACGCCAGGGTCGAGTCGACGCCAGGGTCGGGTCGACGCCAGGGTCGAGTCGACGCCAGGGTCGGGTCGACGCCAGAGTCGGGTCGACGCCAGGATCGAGTCGACGCCAGAGTCGGGTCGACGCCAGGGTCGAGCAGACGCCAGTGTCGGGTCGACGCCAGGGTCGGGTCGGCGCCAGGGTCGAGTCGACGCCAGGGTCGGGTCGACGCCAGGGTCGAGTCGACGCCAGAGTCAGTTCGACGCCAGGGTCGGGTCGACGCCAGGGTCGGGTCGACGCCAGGGTCGAGTTGACGCCAGGGTCGAGTCGACGCCAGGGTCGAGTCAACGCCACGGTCGGGGGTCGGGTCGACGCCAGGGTCGAGTCGACGCCAGGGCTGGGCCGGAGCCGATCCGGCGGCGTGCTGTGGCGCTATCGACGCGCGCCTGACTGGCTTACTATCGGCGCCGTGGCGGCAGATAGCGTAACGACCCCACTCCGGTGCACCTAACACGGACAGACGATCGAGATTATCTGGACCTTCCTGGCGAAGATCATGACAAACGGGCGTCGGCTATCGTAGCTTTACCGCGAGCTGTGGCCGAGAGAGCGGGCGGGACGAATGTCAGGTGCGTGGTTCCAGATCAGGGAAGAGTGCTCCCCTCTGACACAATAACGGCGGGATCGGGCTTCGGGATCGGCATGATCTTCTGAAACAATAACGGCGGGATCGGGCTTCGGGATCGGCATGATCCTCTGACGCAATACCGCATGGTGTGCAGCCGGGCACAAACGCAGTGAGCGTACAACACATTAGCATCCTGAACGATTCAGCAACATCAAAACTCCACGCTCCACTCAGCGAGTGCAAGTCGAGCATCAGAGGCCCAACACCGCCGAGTGTTACTGGCCGAAGGGACGCGGTTCGAAGGCGCCACCGCCCAGTGTCACGGGTGGAGTGTTTGCCTTGCTGGCGTGATTCGCGCGTTTACACAGGCGTGTTTGCGGACCACAGGCGCCGCGTATCCTCACGCCTGGTCGTGACGGGCCGTCACGTGACGGGCACAGGCGCGGCGAACCGTGGCCTGGTAGTGTAGCGCCGCCGTCTGTTGTCACCTGGTGTACACCGACCTGCATAAACTGTTATATGTGGACTGTCATAAGCCGTCTGTAATGGGCTGCCTGCGCGCTGGGCCAGAGTAATATTTGCTGGGCTCCGTCATTTTGGCTTTCCACACAGGACATCATCACAGCCGTCCGTCATAAGCCGTTCACACTGTGGGCGATCGCCCCCCCCCCCCCCCCCCCTCTGGCATAAACTGATCGCACACTGGAGCGAAGAGGCCCGCCCCGCCGGCTATCCGCGATGTAGGACGGACGTCACTTGTAAGTCGCAACCGACTGTCTTTATGACACATGCACAGCGAACCAAACGGTTGACTTTATGACACGTGCACAGCAAACCAAACGACTGACTTTATAACAAGTGCACAGCGAACCAAACGACTGACTTTATGACACGTGCACAGCGAACCAAACGACTGACTTTATAACACATGCACAGCGAACCAAACGACTGACTTCATAGCACGTGCACAGCGAACCAAACGACTGACTTTATGACACGTGCACAGCGAACCAAACGACTGACTTTATGACACGTGCACAGCGAACCAAACGACTGACTTTATGACACGTGCACAGCGAACCAAACGACTGACTTCATAGCACGTGCACAGCGAACCAAATGACTGACTTTATGACACATGCACAGCGAACCCAACGACTGAATTTATGACACGTGCACAGCGAACCAAACGACTGACATTGTAACACGTGCACAGCGAACCAAACGACTGACGTTATGGCACGTGCACAGCAAACCAAACGGCGAAGCACCCAACAGCCCACAGTGCTAAATATGCGTATGTAGCTGATCAATGCGCGGTCCGAAACGTAGTCTGCTCAGTTAGAAATTTCGTTGAGAAGAAATCACTTTTCTATCCTCTTTCCGTTGGGGAAGTAACAGAATTCACTACCTTGGCTTGGTTGGCTTACCTCCTTTCGCAATCAAAAATGTACTGATGCCATGCTTGCCGTTCCCGGTTTTATGCAGGTGGCGATGGATCTATATTCAGCCACGCCACAGCTCCACTGCGCAGAGCCACGAGAAAGCTCCAACGCCTGGCTAGTAATCAATTTGAATGAATTTTCTCACTGAACTGGCCCTGGCATTGCCAGGAAAACTCCTTCATTACCAGGAGCTGTCTGAGGCTGTGTGTTCTGCACGCCATCACAACATCCGCCGCTAATCGCTGTGCGTGTGGGTACGGTACCTTCAGGAAGATACCGATCACAGCCAGGCCGTCGTCTTTGTCGGCCGCCGCCGCAAAGCTGCCGTACTTCTTGTTGTAGTGCACCAGGTGCAGCTGAAACGGCGCGCAAACGTCAGCAATTCGCCTACTGAACCGCGCACACCACGCTCGCACTGGGAGCCGGAGGGAGGACGCCGCTCGGAGCCGGAGGGAGGGCGCCGCTCGGAGCCGGAGGGAGGGCTCCCTCGGAGCCGGAGGGAGGGCGCCGCTTGGAGCCGGAGGGAAGGAGCCGCTAGTAACCGAAGGGAGGCGCCGCTCGCCCTCCCTGCGGTTACCTAGTCACCGAAGGCGAGGACATGAGCCCGGCCGCCGGCTCAAACCTCGTCACAGCGCGGCGGCGCTGCCGGCAGGGCGGCGGCCGGGCGGCACTTCCAGCAGACGGGGCAACTGGCCGCCGGTTGGTGCAGGGCCATTTCACGAGGGGGAGGGGAGGGGCGTGGTGCTCCCAAGGCAGGCGGACGCAAAGTGGGTATAAGCCGGGTGGATGGTGGTTTCGGTCAGGCGAGTTTCACGATAGATGAAGATTGCATCATGCCATGCGCACATGCATGATGACATCCACCATCAGGGTTTTGTATTTAGCAGTGAAAAAGTAACAGGTTAGGATTATGGTGGGTGAAAGAGCATGAAAAATGTGCGACCAGGTGGGTAACAAAGCATAATAAGATATGCGACCAAGTCCTCAGGAATTATGCCCTTAGGAGCACTCAGCACCGGCACGAGCACGAACGTCAGACGAGGGCAACGTGTGCTACGCGTGAGGTGTCGTGGGCGCTTAAGATTCATCATTGATAATTGTCATCTTTTTAGAGCTTTCAGCACCGAACTCACCATTATGAACTGAACATGAACATCCAGGAACTGATAAGTTCGATAGGGTCAAGTTCATATGGCATATAGTTAGGAAATAAACACGTCAAGCAACTACAGCAAGCACAAGGCTTTACCGGACCACGGGTTCCACTGGTTCAGCCATTACAAGACTTTGGCCCCGCTTGGTGGTATTCCCCCCACCGCTCCTTGGCTAATTCTGTCCCGGCAGACCTTAACTTACCTCGACGTCAGTTCGTAAAGCGTACCCATTGATGAACCATTCATCAATCCACGACGATGAATGTTTTAGTAGTCCATGGACTAGTGTCCGCCCGCGTCCTGATTGGGCACTGCCCCCCCCCCCCCCCCCCCCCCCCCACCTACTTATCGATATTCCACTTTCCATTCTCTGCTGGCTGTGAGCCAATCACATGCTCTCCCGCAGCTGGGTCAATGAGCACTCCCCGCGGAGACCTCTGACGTCACCAGCGCAGCTCTGACGTCACTGGCGACCTCAGGCATCGCCAACCACGCGAAAGGTATGCTATCCGAACAGGCGGAGGAGCGGCGTCTATCAGATCCGGTCACTGAGATGATACAGATACATGCGATTTACATTTTTTAACAGCACATGTTCACAGACCAGACGTTGTGATAAATGAGATGTCCATCCACTGTGGCGTCCGAGAAGGGCGCCATGAGACGAGAAACCGGACAAATCTGAAGAGCAAGTGCGTTCTAATAGCGTTCCATAGAGCAGGGCATTATCGTGTGTCGTCTTATGCATTAAAATTTTAATGGACTTAAAAATCAAGTCCATCTAGCATACAAAGTAACACTTATTCAAATACGGCACCCACCCAGCGCGCGGAGGTCTTGTAATCTGGATTCGTGTTCCCAACAGATAAGCATATTTTTCCTTTCTGAAGGTCATTTCTGCCTTTGCCGTAGTCAAGGTCCTTCGACCGACGCGCACACGAAGAGAAACTGCGCTTACTATCATATGATAATGATTAGTCCTATATTTGTCCGGCAATATACCCACTAGAGTACATATCTCGATCTCGCTACGCTTTGTGTGATGGCCGACCTCACCCATGCCACAGATCTCAGCGCTTTTCAGTGGTCTTCAGAAGCTGTATTTCGTCGACATTATCATGAGGCATGTCGATATTTGCCGACGCGGGCATGAGACATGTCGATATTTGTTGACATACCTCAAGTTCATATTTCCCTTCATCCGCCGGTAGTGTTCCTTTTACAACTGCCGTGCCAGGATGGTCATTGCGTATCTGCTTGGCAGCGCCTGCTGCTTGCTGCTTGGCCTATGTGTTGCCTGTGGCTTCTCTTTGGATCGTCTGCTTCGGAGGTGTGCGGGGATCGGGCCGGGCAAGAGAGCGTTTGGTTGTAATGCCTCCGATGGACACGCGCGAGATCTCTGTTCGATACTTTGAACAAACTTGTACACAAATGTAAGCGTTTACTCTGAAGAGACCTCGAAAATATAACCCCGTCGCCAGTTTATTTACGGATCTCAAGATCCAAGGCGTGCAAAATGCAAGCCATGCGCGAAGCTGGTGCTGATTCGGCCAGCTCTAGAAACCTGAACGCCGCCACGTGGCGTGTCGCAACTCCACGCGAAGCGAGAGCCAGTCAGGATGCGTCCACAGCACCACCATATCTCCCCGTCAGGACGCGTCCACAGCACCACCGTATCTCCCCGTCAGGACGCGTCCAAAGCACCACCGTATCTCCCCGTCAGGACGCGTCCAAAGCACCACCGTATCCCCCCGTCAGGACGCGTCCAAAGCACCACCGTATCCCCCCGTCAGGACGCGTCCAAAGCACCACCATATCTCCCCGTCAGGACGCGTCCAAAGCACCACCGTATCCCCCCGTCAGGACGCGTCCACAGCATCACCATATTCCCTCGTAATGCGCAGTGCCTGCTTGATCGAAGCACTTAGTTGGTCGTAGGTCAGGTGGGGCCCAAGCGCACAACGGTCGGGAACGGTGCGTATTCGGGTGCGGTGTGTTTCGGTGCCAGTTGTGCGGTCCAGCCCGATCAGAGTGCGGTGTGTTCCGGTGCCAGTTGTACGGTCCATTCCGATCAGAGTGCGGTGTGTTCCAGTGCCAGCTGTGCGGTCCAGTCCGATTAGGGTGTGGTGTGTTTCAGTGCCAGTTGTGCGGTCCGGTCCGATCAGAGTGCGGTGTGTTCCGGTGCCAGTTGTGCAGTCCATTCCGATCAGGCGTAAGCAGCGCTTATCATGTTCTTTAACATAGTTGGCTAGGAGCTTGCATGTTGCGGGGGATTGCGGGCCTGCTAGCCAGCGCACTGGCATGGGCAGCTAACTTAGTCCATTTGAAATTATCGTACCGGGCATTCAACCCGAAATGTTTGCGCCCCACATATGTCATTACGTAAAGCTTTTAGCATGTGTTATGCAATGCATCTGCTGCAAAATTGCAACAAATGACTTCATCAGTTAAGCTCTCCGACATATGGGATGATTCTGCCCAGCACACTATCAAATAACACGAGGAATTGAAGCACAGCTATGCCTGCCCTAGAAAATACCCTATACACGAAACTATGACTACCCTACGAAGACATCTTATGATGCATCTGAAGATCTCAACCAAAAATAGCTAGTCATGCTATCAAGCACATTTCCCTCCCCAAACCACGATCTTAACAATCACTCGGTTACCTGACCTCCAACAGGAGAAACGAAGAGCTCATCCGTAAATAATGAAGCAGATCATGGTACGCTGACCAGACTTGTGTTCGACTCGAGCTGAATCCCTAATCGGTCGTTTTTAGATCAGAATCACGAGTCAACCGTTTTGGAGTGAGTCGTGAGCTGAGTCGACTCACCAGGAAAAATGCTGCTTTGAGCAATAAGCTCAACCACATTATTCGTAAATTTCATGAGCTGAATCGTGAGCCGATCATTTCTAACAATGTCGCGTCAGTAAGTGGAATGGTTGAACTGAAAATGTCAACATGAGGAAGCACAGCAAGCCCCAGACAACTTAACATATTATTTTTTAGAGTATCAAAATGAACATCATGCAGTATTAATTATCGACCTTTTTTGCAATATCAGCACACATTTGGTTATTATAATTTCTGAACAGCAAGCGTAATACTGATGACTTTAACTAAAAATTATCAAGGCTCAGCCAGGAACCAGAAGAGAGAGAGAGAGAGAGAGAGAGAGAGAGAGAGAGAGAGAGAGAGAGAGATATATATATATATATATATATATATATATATATATATATATATATATATATGGCACAGCAAAAATCCTGCACTACTCTATGCTGTGCTAAAATCAGTGAAATAATTTCTGCTTTTTAGAAAATCCAAGAGCTGGTCATATTTTGTATTTTCAGTTGTCACAGCAATGAATTAATCCATACCTGGCCGCTCATTTACTGCTACTTGAATGCCGTTAACATGTTATTGCTGAAGCTATATGAAATAAACAGCAGGAATGGGAAGCTCGTCTCGTCTCATGAGTGGATTGTATGTCACAGAATGTGACGTCCCAGGGATTACATCAATAACTATTTCCATTCAACACATAACCTGCAAGTGAGAATTCGGCTAAAAAATTAGAAGTCTTGGAATGCCGGTAAGGTGGCACACAGCACTCTAATCTCCGAGCAGCGTGGAACCTGTTTTAACTCATCTTAGAGTGACCTGATAAGATGAGTGTAAGGTATCCTGATGAAAAACGACATTACGCGCCTACGTTAGCCTATCTCCGATTCAGTTGTTCGGAATTCGGTTCATTATAAGTGATGCGAATTTTTGCTGGAATTATTTGTGAGAGATACAACCGTAATTTGTAATAATTGATAAGTCCAAGTAAGTAGGTAAGCTCATAGTATGTCTGTAACTTATGCCAGCTGATTGCCATTGCAAGAACTGCAATCCGATGTTGAATTGTTAGCGTGCTATGGCCGACAATATGGCTATAACTGGCTAGTGGAAATGTGATTACCTGCGCGTGAATGCGCTTGGCGAGCACATGGCAGGTTCAGACTGCCAACTGTCAGCTTCACTGTTGTCTGCTCCACATTGCATGCCACATAAATAATGGGTCTGGGTCGAAGGCGCCAGGTCGAATACGCTAACCTAGAGCTGAGACTTAAGAGAGCTGATTGGCAACAAGTCACAGGACAGGTATTGTTTGCTGCACTGCATTTTCTAGGTTCGAACGATAAACATGCTACTAGGCTGTTTGTATCTAGCTCCATTCCCGTATATATATATATATATATATATATATATATATATATATATATATATATACATATAAATATATATATATATATATATATATATAAACAAGAAACACCGTATTGCTGATCCTGAACTTGAGTTTGTTAAGTCTAGGAACCGGAGTATATGTGCATGAATCATAAATATAATATGCATATAAGAGCCAGGACTTTATCGGACCTATGATTTTGCAAGCTGTGTGAGTCATGAGTCAAATTGTTCAATGCAAGTAATGAGCATGAGGTGAGTCGAATAAAAAATGAGATGGACATGACTCATAAGCTGAATCGGATCCCAAAAGCTGTGAGCCAGTCTCCAGCCGACTCAAAAAGTTGAGTCGATCACAAATTTGGTGTTGGTCCCTTACGGGTGTGGTCGCTGCTGACATGATGGTTTGCAGGCGACGGTGCGCTGGCTACTTTGGTTACTCGTTGCTTTGGTTACTTGTTATACATTGGCTACTCGGTGCTCTGTTTACCTGTTGCACTTTGGTGACTTATCTTGCAAACAGAGCTGCGCGGCCAGACGTTGAGTATACGGCCCGTGGCCCTGCCGTCATGGGGCAGCAGTGCCCGGCTCCGAACAGAGCCGCACGGCCGGACGTTGAGTATACGGCCCGTGGCCCTGCCGTCATGGGGCAGCAGTGCCCGGCTCCGAACAGAGCCGCACGGCCGGACGTTGAGTATACGGCCCGTGACTCTGCCGTCATGGGACAGCAGTGCTCGGCTCCGAACAGAGCCGCACGGCCGGACGTTGAGTATACGGCCCGTGACTCTGCCGTCATGGGACAGCAGTGCTCGGCTCCGAACAGAGCCGCACGGCCGGACGTTGAGTATACGGCCCGTGGCCCTGCCGTCATGGGGCAGCAGTGCTCGGCTCCGAACAGAGCCGCACGGCCGGACGTTGAGTATACGGCCCGTGACCCTGCCGTCATGGGACAGCAGTGCTCGGAGGAAGTGACCCAGCTTACCGTGACTGTCTGCATTAATCAAGGGCTATGTCGCCTGCCCTGGAGTTAATATGCGCAGTCACCCTGAATTACATCGCTGAGTACAAAGTTTCCAAACGAGACCATCGCAGCAACGTTTGAAATGCGGTTGCTAATAAGGACGCAGCGGTGCGGTTTTCCGCTAAAATCAGGAATTTAGCAATAACAAAAGCATGACCTTTCCCTGTTTGTCAAGCTTGAATGGAACAAGGGCCGTAAGACTTCGATCCGTTGGTTAAAAATCCGTGCTTGAATGTGGTTGCAAAGCCAAGTGTTGGCAAAAAAGGAGCGAGTTGAATTTGAACGTCACTCAAGGTGCCACACTAATCCACCCGAACAGGCACTATCTGCACAAATGCATCAGCGGTACCAGCCTAGCCTCCTGCGTTTATTAGCACCGCATGCACAGTAAAACAAGAACGACTCTTGTGAGGAGTTGAACGTCCAGAAGAGTCTTCCCACGAAAATTCCCGCAGGCCATTCGCGTTAAACCCCTAAGTCACCTGCGTGTTAGAGCCGTGTCGAAAACTGAGCGCATCATGGAAACCATCACTCCGGCAATGACCTAGAGATCCTCACCTAACGACGCACTGCTTCGGTAGTCCCCGTGGCCCTGAGCTATGTCGAAATCCTACACCAAGGTGACGCAGCGCGATGTCCAAGGTCAGCATGACCGATCATCCTGCCTGTTTTTGGCGCGGTACTCGGCCATTCGTCGGCCGCGCGGGCTCGGCCGCGGGCGCGGCGGGCGGCCATTAGAGGCGGCCTTGGCCTCGGCGCTGGCGCAGCTAGGCACCTCGTGGTGTTGCTGTGGGAGCAGTGCTCACCGCGCTGTCCCGTGCGGAGGTCCACACGCACTTCCCCCACAGAGTGGCCAATGGAAACCGGCTCAACGCTCCGGCACGCGCAGCGAACAAGATAAGACGCACGGTCACACTAAAACGGCTCAACACTGGCACGCACAGCGAACAAGATAAGACGCACGGTCGCACCATAACTGGCTCAACGCTCCAGCACGCACAGCGAACAAGATAAGACGCACGGTCGCACTATAACCGGCCCAACGCTCCAGCACGCACAGCGAACAAGATAAGACGCACGGTCGCACTATAACTGGCTCAACGCTCCAGCACGCACAGCGAACGAGATAAGACGCACGGTCGCACTATAACCGGCTCAACGCTCTGGGGCGCACAGCGAACAAGATAAGACTCACGATCACACTATTACCGGCCCACACCGGGCCGGATGACAGGGATCTCATCTCAGTGATTTGTACGTGACCAGGTGGGCAGTTGTCATCTCAGCTGTGACGTCGAAGACAGTTCTCAATTCCGCTGCTCCCCTGTGACTCGATTCAGTGGACAGTTCTCCCCTCAGTTTTTCCCCTGTATCTGGTAGACAGTTTCCACCTCAGCCCTTCCCCCTGTGACCCGGAGACAATTGCCACCTCAGCTTTTCCCCTGTGCCTGGTGGACAGTTTCCATCTCAACCCCTCCCCTGTGACCAGGAGACAGTTGCCACCTCAGCTGTTCCGCCATGGCCCTGCAGCCAGCTCTTACCTCAGCGGCGTACTTGTGGCCGTCGACGGTATGCTCCGAGCCCCGCTCGTCCTCGCGGCCCCAGTGGCAATGGTACTGAGCCAGCGCGTACGTGCCCTCCAGGGGGCCGCCGCGGATGGAGGACTGGCCGCCCATGTAGTCCACCTTCCAGCCGTGACCTGACAGCGGCGTGTACGGTCACGTCAGGTCAGGCCACAGCGGGTCACACCAGGTCAGGTCACAGCGGGCCACACCAGGTCAGGTTACAGCGGGCCACGCCAGGTCAGGTTACAGCGGGACACGTCAAGTCAGGTCCCAGCGGGCCACGACAGGTCAGGTTACAGCAGGTCACGTCAGGTCAGGCCACAGCGGACCACACCAGGTCAGGTTACAGCGGGCCACGCCAGGTCAGGTTACAGCGGGCCAGGTCAGGTCAGGTTACAGCGGGCCACAACAGGTCAGGCCACAGCAGGTCACGCCAGGTCAGGTTACAGCGGGCCACGCCAGGTCAGGCCACAGCGGGACACGTCAAGTCAGGCCCCAGCGGGCCACGAAAGGTCAGGTTACAGCAGGTCACGTCAGGTCAGGCCACAGCGGACCACACCAGGTCAGATTACAGCGGGCCACGCCAGGTCAGGTTACAGCGGGCCAGGTCAGGTCAGGTTACAGCGGGCCACAACAGGTCACGCCACGGCAGGTCACGCCAGGTCAGGTTACAGCGGGCCACGACAGGTCAGGTTACAGCGGGCCACACCAGATCAGGTTGCAGTGAGGCTACTACATGTCAGCTTTGATCAGAGCAAGGTAAAACCAGGTCAGATCAGATTATGACAAGATCACTGCAGGTCATCTCAGGCCACAGCAGGATCACGTCAGGTCATGTCAGGTCAAAACTAGGTCACATCATGTCAGATCATGGCCTGGGTACGTCAGACCAGAGTGAGATCACGTCAGGTCAGATCAAAACGAGGTCGTTTCATATCAGTGACGTGCTCAGAATTAAGGCGTGTTATTTATGCTCATGTTTTTATATCACGACGCAGGAACGCTTGCGAACGCAGTTAGCAGGGCAGTGGCGCGTACGCCGAATGCTGGAGCGGCCACCAAAAGCTCGAAACCATCGCCTCGTCGTCTCCACCATAGTCGGCGTGAATCATGACGGTGCTCATGGCGACAGCCGCCGCATCAACAGTAAAAAAAAGAAAAGCTATCTCCGTTGGTGTGCTGGCACTGGCAGACATAAAGCCGTTGGCGGGATGCCAGCTGCCGGCAGGACTGACCTGTGTTGCCGATGCTCTGCTGGTCGCTGGGGTCGTAGCTGATCTCCAGAGGGCTAGCCTCCAGCACCGGGTCAGGCCGCGTCTTCTCGGTGACAATGTCGATCGGAGACTGGCGCTTCCCCTCGCCCACAGGGAACTGTCTCGACCATGTCTGAGGACCTGAAACGGCGGGCCGCGCTCAAACACAGCGACTGCGACTCCTCTGTCGATCGGAGACTGGCACTTCCCTCGCCCACAGGGAACTGTCTCGACCATGTCTGAGGACCTGAAACGGTGGGCCGCGCTCAAACACAGCGGCTCCGCGCCCTGTGTCCAGGGGTGGCTGGGCCTCGCACTTCTGTTAAGGCGTGCCAGGTCGTACTCGATCGTGCCCCTCTCCCCCAGAAGCGTTCCCTGATCTTCTCAGACCGGATTCAGATGCCCTTGTCAGTCCAACGCCTCCACCCAGAGGGCTGTAGCAAAAGCTTGTTCTTCGTCGGCAAGACAACTTTTCCAGGTGCAGTTGTCTGCGACGTCCATGCAGCTACGTCACAAGCCTGGCCCCGCACTTGGACTACAGTAGCTCGCGTATGGCCCAGCCAAGTGCAGCGCCACCAGGGCCGTCCCGCAACGGTGTCTGTCAATGTCGGACAGGATTGCGGCTTGGCTTTCAGCGTGTACTTCAGCTCCCCGTCAACCTGGCATGAGCAGCAGGTCAGGTCACTCCCCTATCGTCCACCCCCTGGGTCGTTACTTCGACCGCCCCGGTTTCAGCGAACACGTGCCCCCGGGCGTCTGGCCGGTGGGCCGACGCCACCGCCGGAGAACAGGGCCACTAAATTCAGAGAAGCCTCGGCTGGTGTTGGCGAAATGGGAACCGACATGCGACCGAAGTTGGTGGGCAGCGCTCGCTTCTGCTGATAAGTCTAGCGGCCGCTTTGTGTGCACAGCATTGGGTCGGCACGTTTCCAACGGCAGACGGCCGCATCCGTCACGCGTCACATTCCGTCTCCGCGTCACGTTGGCCACGTCCCAGCGGGATGGAATGCAGTGCACTACACACAGAAGACCCAGCACCCCCAGAATGTGTGGGCGAATATCGTTCCAGCTATGCAAGGGCATAACGATGGCTGTGGGGTCTTTGACGCATTTGGGATACAGGCATCATTTTCATGGTTATACGGCACATTTTCACCACGGCATGTACTGCCATTTCAAAACCGACCTCGTTTTCTTCGTTTGCACATGTAAAACTTGCGAACTTGCAAATGCAACACTCATCAGTTAAGGTGCTGACTGCTTCAATTGGCAACTTCAAGATATTTGTGGGTATCGCCGACAGGCAGTTTTGAGCGGGAGGAGGGGGGGGGGGCTGTATGTAAAGGCTGCCAGAAAAACATGCATGCGATGCCATATGTGATGTCTGTGTTACGGCTGCGGCGTGCGCAGGCTGTACAAGAAGCTGGTTTTGCAAGTAAAGAGCCGGAGTCAATGCCCACAGCGCCTGACTGTGTCTGGCCGAACGCTTCTCGATGATGGCTATCGGGCCCAGTTACCAGTAACACGTACAGTAACAACCCATATTCCCTGAACGCTGGCATCGTAACGGTTTCGTGCGATTTGCAATTCACCGAATGGCCAGTCCCATTGGCAGCCCGACAGCAGGCCCAGCAGCGCCAGCGTATGCGGCGTGATCGACACATAGCGGTCTCCATCGGAGAGTGACGATATCTCCAGCGCAGGCTCTGCGCAGGCCGTTCTGCGCAGACTCTGCGCAGGCCGCTCTGCGCAGAGTCTCACCGCACTGACGGGCCGACCAGTCGCGCCCAGCTTCCCGGCGACACCCGAGATCTGTATCAAAGGTCTCGCCATCCCTGCTGTGTCACCGATGCTCGGCGCTCGAGAGGCACGGCAAAGACGAGGATCCAGTGCGCCCCGGGCTATAGGCTTGTTAGAGGTCTGTCCAGTCTGCTGGAGCATCCAGTGTGCCCCGGGCTACAGGCTTGTCAGAGATCTGCTCAGTCTGCTGGAGGATCCAGCGCGCCTCGGGCTATAGGCTTGTTAGAGGTCTGTTCAGTCTGCTGGTCACCATGAGCCTCGCCAATGGAATGTGCAGTTCGGTGACAATGCGGGCATCGTAACATACAGGGGCTTTTGTGAAATGCTGGCATCATACGCATTACACGACCAGATGCACTTATTTCAGCTCCACTTATACGCAAGGCCACGGTGAGTTCGAATGGCTAGGCAATTAGGGAGAATGTCCAAGAACAAACTCGTGGAATTCGACCTGACCTGTCGCGTCACAAATGACTGACAGATCAACAAATCGCATGTGCTGGGGTCGCATATTCCAGGGACATCTATCGTTTGAACTAGCCGTTCGCTTAATTGGTTCCAAAGATATTGAGGATGGCGTTCAACGTGGTCTCAGCAATTGAAAGATGGTAAATGCCCCAGAAATACAAATAAATCCATATATTTGAGCATGAAGTCCACCGGTTGCCACGCCAACGCCAGTACAGTTGTCCGCACAGCTTCTAACTGCAGTAAAAGCGTTCTGTTTGAAGGGAAGTAATCAAACACTGGGTTTAATCTGCCCTGAGTGACGTCGAATTAACGACCGCTGTTTAAGCCCAAGCATTACTTTACGCTAATGGTGGCCGCACGGTCTAATTTCGGAGCACATGACAGTACAATCAGCTTGAATAGTGAGGGCACCGATCCGTGGGATGTACGCACCGATAGAGAGAATGAAACAGTCTGCTCCAAGCGCGAGATTGCGCCTTGCGTAAATGGGCAGTAGCACAGATTTTGCCCCCTCTCTCTCTTCCTGATGTATCGAGAATCACTGATTCGTTTTTCTTCTAGAAATCGGTCTGTCGCAAAGTGTGCTACAGTTCTGAACGGAAAAGTTTCAAGACTTTGCAAAGCGGCGGGTAAAAAACCAACTTTCGGATGTTTTTCATCCCTGACTGCTGATACGTAAATGGTCACATTTATATGCAACTAACGAGTTCACAGCCGAAAGGCCTACTCGTCTGCTATACAAAGGAGGCATTTTGATATGACATAATAATAATGGCATGATCGTCACATCCTTTCATAACATCATCTTCCGAAGACCTTATATTTTGTACACGCACTTGTTGGTATTTAGCTCACAACTGAACAGATTATAACACGCGACCAACTGGTCCAAACCGCTCCCGGACGATGAGGACGCTCGCGTTTTAGAGCGATCTACGCCGCTCTCTGGGATGGTCGGGTGGCCTGCGGGCGTCAGTGCCGCTGACGCTTGGGACTGTACTTTGGGGGGGGGGGGGGGTGGCGGGGCCCCAGGTATCTCAAGCGTCGGTGTCATGCACGACCAGTAACGGCTGTAAGCCCAGCTGGCTCAGACCCGACGTGGCTCATGCTTGTTGGCGCATGCGCCCAACTGGAGGCGCAAGCGCCGTGTCGTGGCTTAGAATGGGACCGCGAGGCCAGTTCCAAACGTTAAGCTGAGCGTGTTTGTAGTTTGCATGATTTTTGTGTAAAACCGTGAACAAGATCTTATGCCGCGTATGGTGTGCATGCAATTTCTAACAACTGGATGCCTGTTCGAAATTGCACAGCGTTTTGCAATCATTTATCAATCGCTTTTCCTTGCAAGTGCATATTAACCAACTGTTGTTCATTGCTACCCTAGATGAGAGAGAGAGAGAGAGAGAGAGAGAGAGAGAGAGAGAGAGAGAGAGAGAGAGAGAGAGAGAGAGAGAGAGGAGAGAGAGAGAGAGAGAGAGAGAGAGAGAGAGAGAGAGAGAGAGAGAGAGAGAGAGAGAGTGAATGGGAGAGAGAGAGATAGAAAGAGGGAGGGAGGAAGAAAGCGAGACAGAGAGAGAGAGAAAGAGAGCAGGAGGAAGAAAGAGAAAGATGTTGAAGGGTTGTTATTTCCGGCTATTGTACTGTCCTTTGCCTACGTATTGTCTTTGCCTATATGTTCGCCTATGTCCCGGTTGTCACGTCCGACCACGACCGAGGCCGTCTCAAGCGAGGCTTCCCACGTGACATGCGTGGTCGTCACGCGTGCCAGGCATTCGCGATTTCGTTACACTCCCTTGCGAATGCCGTTCGTGACGAGCGATGAGATAATGTAGTACGTGCCGTTTTTGGGAGCTGCTTGACAGGATCCGGATGTCTAATGTTTTAAATAATCCTCTTCGACTCCTAAAGACATAGGATCTGTGGGCTATTTTTTCAACTCGAATCCTTTTCATCGCATGGCTTGATTTGTTTGCTTTAATTTGTCAACCTTTGAAATTCAGCCATCTTCGGAATGGGCACCGAGATTTGGAGAGCCCTGCTCGTATGAATATTGAAGCGCAATACCCGTGCGTTAAAAATGTGTCACTCTATTGCAGACTTCCGCTATCTCCTGTTGTATGATTTCATGCTTGCGGACTGTCATATGCTGTAAAACGATATATACCGAAACTATACCCGTGGTAAGGGATGCGCGGCAAAACTTTTTAGCTCGACTTGACACTAACATTTCAGAGTCCTTTTTTTAAAACACATGAGAAATACGCTATCTTTCTCCTCCGCAAAAGACTCGGCATTTCCCGATCTTTTGACTTAAATGTTCTGGTCTACCTAGACCGCTTAACCATGCACATCAAACCTAAGTTCTTATTATGCTAACAAAGCAGAGGAACTTTCGAGATTATTTGAGGCCCAAAGTGATCACCCTGCATGTCATTGCTTATCACCGATGGGGAAAACCATGCGCGCAAGCCGATTACCACAGCGCGAGCGTGAGTGGTCGCACCCACCTTCTGCCCGCGCGCCGACATTCCTCGCGCTTACGCGGGACCGGATTTGAGCGGCGTGGCTGGTCTTCCTCGGCACGCGAGCGCCTCCAAAGTCACGTGACATCATCACATGACTGGCGACGCTCTAGGTCAGGTGGCCGCAAGGTTACGTAACGCTTGGGATCACGTGCAATTCGGGAGCAGCCTGACGGTATGCAGATCTGCGCATCATCGCAAACGGCCATGAACCGCTTTCCGTTGGGAGAAAGAGACCGGGGGCGTAATATAACTATAGTGACATATCCAACATATATCATTCTGGAATATGACGGCTTCTCAATTTCCGCAGCAAAATATTTCTGTGTTTACTGACACGTGGCATTGCAGGATTCTGCAGCGCTGCTCCATCGCTAAGGGTCATCGTGCACCGCTAATGGGCAGTCCACAGACACGTTGACCTTCAACTCCCTTAAATTATGCTGCCTTGTGTCGTTCAGCACAGGTCTGCTAGACCAGCCGCGGGCCACAGTCCGGGTATTTCCACCCAACGGTCGTGGGAAGGTTGCACACGCCTACCGCTCGGACCCAGCGCCGCCTGTCCAGCCCTCTCCTGGCGCCGCCTGTCCAGCCCTCTCCTGGTGCCGTGCTGAGCGTTCTCGAGTGTGCGCGGATGTCGAGCCGCATTCACGGCCGGTCCCGGGACAGGCCGGCGGCTCGAGGGGCTTAATGTGCCCCGCATTAATGTATCATGTTTCAACTTGTGACGGCGTAAGAAATCAAGTGTAGAATGTATGGGCACATGCAGTATCTCGTAAACTGACGCTGAACCCTTCAGTCATGCTTTATTTTCACTTTACTTGTACTAGCCAGTTGTTAAGTCCAATGTATTGACCGATGACCGATGCGAGGTTGTAGAACACTCAGTCTAATAATTTACCCAATGCGTGAAGAGCTCTCCCTCGAGCATCCTCCCACGGCTCAGCCGGCCGGACGCCTGGGTGTTCATGCTCGCAGTTTAAGCTCAAACAACTTTAGCCAGACGAAGAGAGATCAGCCTGCAACTGTTGTTTCCTTCAAAGCATAGCTGCATGTGCCATGTGTCATAGGTTATAGTGTCATAGGCTTACAATTTGAGTTGAATCTGTTTCTGGATTGTATCATAGAAAAGGAAATCTTGTCAGTCATGTCGCTGTTGTCATCTGTTGTGTCATCTTACTGTTACGCGATACCGCTGCATTTAAGTGATTCACGTCACTGCGAGGGCAGTCTGGGATCCCAGCAGCCGTTTATCACCGCTCCATTTCGACTGAGTCATTTGAGTCACTTGGGTGTTAGGTGCAAACGTCACTGGTATGAAAATCCCATAGACATACACGTTCCTGCTGCATGTAAGAATTTTACATTATGAGCCAAATCGGGCAATATAGCCCCGTGACCTGTGATGACCTTAGTTGACTTCACGTCCATGGTTAAATAAACGGCTTAATTGTGAATTGCATGCATTTACACTCCATACTTAACAGCTATCCAATTACCGAATTTTTGTCTAAAATGAATGTTGCCAGAACTAGTGGAAGGATTCTGCAGGACCTGATCCCAGTGTGATCGGTGATCGTAGATACAATGTTTTCACCATTACAAGTCTGGAGCACCGCTCCCAGCTTGAATTAATGCGATCTGGCGCGTGATTGTAAATATGGCGCCGTGGTCTAAAAAGACCGCAGGAGTGCCTCGTACGTGGAAAAAATGACCCAGCAATTATGGGGAAAAAGCTGCAGAGTTTGCTACAGCTTTGCTACAAGTTACAGCAGGCCGTCTCTGCAACGCCTGTGCCATCACGTTTGTCACAACTACGTGCCGGCACGCCTCGGGCGGAATGGCGTCCGCCTACGCGGCGCGCTCCGCCTGTGCCGCCTACCGTTCTTGGATCCGTATCCCCAGCCGGGCATGGCTGCGTGTCGTCCGTCGTCTGTCGGAAGCCCGTGCACTTCTCCGTCCGCCGCCGTCCGACCACTGCCGACGCGGCGGCGCGCGCCCACTTTAAAAGCGTGCCGCGGCGGCGCGCGCCGACGCCCACGTGACCCGCCGACCTGGCCGCGGCGCGCCGGCGGCGCGCGCGTGAGGCGAGGCAGATACGCCGGCGAGACGGTGGCCGGCGGGGTATCCGAACAAAATGTTGACACGTCAATGTCGGCAGACAAAAAATGGACCGTAAAAACTATGCTCAGAATAATCGACATTTAAAATATTGACAGTGCATAATACAGACATGCAAAATAATGAAACGCGAAACATGAGTTACGCAAAAATTGGCCCCATCGAAATTGACATGCTGAATATCCGCACGCTGGCTGTCGTCAGAAGCTGGTCTATAAGCTGCTGGACATACGGGTTTCCATACACGACACAAGGAAGGGTGACCTATGGATCTGAACAAATTGTGTGAGCTACCGACAACTTTGTACGACCCAAAGTCAAACATGTCTGCCTACTGCGGTGTAATTCGCTTCCCTGCTCGACAGTTGCCAGAAAGCACGATTTAAGCCAAAAATATCAGACTTTCGTAAACAAATTTTCCCCTGTCATGGCCTGGCACGTCACCAACGACATCAGAAAATGAAACTACACACCAGTGTATTCGTATCGAGACAAGCAGTCTGTTTTCGTATGTTTTACCCGAGTGCATTAGGGAACGAAATGCTTTAGAGAAGTGACGGCAGCTAGAGGGAAGTTTGGTGTCGTTCCATCTTGGTACAGGAAAACAATGATACGCTTCTGCACGCACAGGTCACGACCTTTTTCTAAAATTGTTGCGTTTTGCTAACTCAAATTGCTGTTTTATTGCCGCCCCAGAGCCCTAAACGCCGCCAACAGATACCTGGCGTGACACCCTTAGAGGCCCGGCGTTCTGTCCAGGGCTCTGGTATGCCGGATAATAGGTAGGTGACGCCCCTTTTCGGCGCATATTCGCAGCGCCAAACTTTGCCGGTGCCGCACCTAAAAGAAACAGCTACAGTTATTCTTGAACACGACTGCTGCAGTGCCAGATGCTGTCAGTTACCTTTGTTTCGTTTTTGCTCACTCCAGAGGCAAGAATCAAACTATGTTGATATAACCCGCGGTGCATTTCCCTGCTGCGCAAAGCGATACACACAGTCCGGGACTAGTTGTTATTTTACATCTTGAATTCGGCATGCTAAGTGTTGTTTATTTGGTTGCCATTATCATGCTAAGAGAGGAACCACAATTATACTTTGTACCGTTTTAGTGACTGTATTTGTACATATTTTTTATGGTACAGATTTTGCACCGTTTTAGTGACTGTGTTGGGCCGATTTTTTGCAAGTGCATTCACGCTCATGCCCCAGCCAATTAAGATCAACGATTCGTCGTGTCGATGTGTTAACGCGGCCAATATTTTGAGTGTTGACATTCTGCGTTGCCAATTTTCCGCGGGCAAATTCTTGGTGTGTCGACATTTCCATGGTCAATGTTTTGCAGACTCTATATTTTCCGCGTAAATATTTTGTACATCGATATTCCGCATGTCTGTATTTTACGTCCGACATATTGTCTGAAAGTCTGTCGGTATCTAGCGTCTCGTCGCTTTGTTTTGTGACCTCCGGCGGGCCCGGGCCATGACGAGCGTGCCGAGCGCTCTCCTCGCTCTGCGGTGGCTTGGGAAATACCCGAATCGTTCACGAGTGACGTGGCGTTCGAAAGGTTCGTCGTGAAAGTCGCGAGAGGCCAGACTCGAGGCGGGCGGCTGGGTGGGGCCGGTGAAATGGTGGGAGGCGCCGGCGTCCAAGCGTCGTCTGTATACAGGTAGACGTATGGAATATGGATCCATGGTGCGACCCCAGACACGACATAACAAAACAGACAGTTTGATAGGTTTTTTTCTGATACGAGTGTCAGAGCACCTATTGACGTTTTAATAAACGTGATTGGGTGGCTGGTTGAGGAGGAAGTGCTGTGGGTTTTCCATATACGAATCAGAAGACCCCGACCGTTTGTCACACCTGAGCATGCATTGACTTTGCATTACTGCCGGAGCTCCATGCGCCGTGCCAACGGCCCGTTTCTCAACTATTTGCAGCACTGGCGGCTTCTAGAACGCAACAGTTGTGCATGTATTTGTAACTGTTCACATAAATTGGTAGCAAAAGAAAAGATTGTTCAAATGTGCTCTCCTGCCTATTCTGTCGGACTTGACATCGAATGTCCCTCTCTTCGAGTCAGGGACACGGCCTGTGTTTGAACTGTGGTTTAATGTGGTGGGGCTGTGAACAAGTCTGCCAAGATAAGTTTTTCCTCAAACAGGCAACATGTTCAAAGTTCGACACCCTTCTTAAACGCCCATAAAGCCTGAATGCTTGAAGCATTGCTACTTTTTTGTTTGTTTTTTGGCGTGATGCTAACTAAAACGCTGTAAAATGCGGTGGCACCTTCACCAAGTATATTGCCTCTCTTTGGGGCCGGTGTTAAGGTTAAAACGTTTCCGAACGCGTGCAACATGAAAACAGCACACGTTGCCAAACAAAGATACTATGTTACCAGTCGTGCACGCAGCATTTCTTCACATATTTTTAACACAAAAAACTATTTTTCTTGCTAGGCTCTATCGCCCTAGATGTGTTGGGATCATAACAGAGAAGCTATGTTCAACTCCGGTCCCGAAACCAAACATTTCTCTTGCACGGCCTTCATCATGGCTTCAAAGCAAGGATCCTTGCAGCAAATGGTTTGGTAGATATTTTATCCAGCAATGGTGATTGAACATGGATGGAGGAACAGTGTGATTTTGAACGTCTGTCCCGGGATATCGGTAAGCTTTGGCTGTCAGGCTAAATAGACGCCCGTTCGTACCGTTAGCGCGGGTGCAACGATTTTCCGTGACATTGTAGATACTTATGCACGTGACGCTCGTGACTTTCCGCACAGGGACATCTATCGTCCGTGATTACACGTCACCCGCCTTCAGTCCACGGACGAATTCTGGGTACGCCACCACGTTAAAAAAGACCGTCGGAAAAGCGATTTGTCACGGCTTTTCCCCATGTCTTGTAGCAAGCGCATTGTAGAAAATGAGCCATATTTGCCTATCTGCCGGTTTGGAAATCGCCTGTGAGCCGGGGGAAAATGGCTGCCATCAGTGGACATCGCTGCGGACAGGAAGACGGGACACGCTTCAAGGACACACGCACGCACGCGTGGCTCGATCTCTACCAGTCGCCGCGGCGCCCTGGCGTGGTGGCTTGCCACCGTCGCGTGCTCTGAACTGATGGCCAGCAGTCTGGCCGATGTCGGGAACACGCAAGTGATCTCATTTTTCCCAGTGACTAGCTTGGGGCATGACGGCAGTGCGAGGGTCTGCCTCAAGGGACGATGCGTGCAGCGCATCGGAACGGCTGGTGACCATTAACCAATCAGCATCGGTCTAGAAGTGGGATTGGTTTGGTAGTTGGTGGCTGACCAATCGCACGCGTCGGGTGCTGCACGCGCGATTTCGGAAACTTGATTTTATACGTATGATGCGATAAAGCGAGAAGAGTTGGAAAGGCAGTGGACTTCGAATCAACAGCGTAATCTTCGCGGTCTTAGGTTGGACAATTTCCTTTGGACAGGATCTAACTGGACTTCATTATTTTTGGGAGCAAAAAGACGAGTTCATATGGCAGCCCAAGGCCTCTATAGCGCGCCGCAAGGAAAGTTGCGGGGAAACTCCCGGCACTCAGCAAATTTCTCTCCCACCGGACGAGATACCTTCCCCCACAGCACTCACACCTCTCTCCCGCTAAGGGGATTATCTGCCCCCACAGCACTCAATCCACCCGACGAGATACCCTTCCCCACAGCACTCACAACTCTCCCTCTGACGAGATATCTGTCCCCACAGTACTCAAAGCTCTTCCAGACCGGCCTAAGTCTCCGTTATAACCCTATGACATATGCGAAAATTCTCTACAAATCATTGTTTTTTTCATGGCCGCAAGATAAAGTGACCTAAATCCGTGGATAATCAGAATTTAGGGTGGGCTAGTCCGATCCTTGGCCATTCGGTCATTCAGGACATACTTACATCCAAACATGGCTATTCCATATTTGGGATCGGTCACCATCGTCGCGGTGTCTCCCTACTCAAAATTCCTTCAACGGTCCCGTACCAGAAGCTTTGCCGAAAATACTGAAACGGTGATATAAAGATGCGAAATATATATAATTATATATATATATTATATATATAATATATATATATGTATATACATTCACAAATATGCCGATGTGCAGTTGGTGCTGAAAGCTTAAAAAGCAAGTACAGGGCTCTCAAGGGCCGTTGGCGGCGGGATGAGATCGAAGGGGACAGCTCCATCGAGGAAAAAATCTAATTTGCCTATGTATTTATACAAACGCGCCGAGATCGAAATCACGTGCTCCCCTGATCCATGCCCAAAGAGGATACACAATCAATGACAAGTTGACCTTGAGTTTATTCTGTTCTCGTTATAGGCTTGCAATTGGAACTGTGATATATCCAACGAAAAATGCATCTCGATCCGATACTTACAGTCCATGTTTCCCAATTGGCAGAGTCAAGCATTTTAGAAAATGAAAGGGCCTACCAAGAAAGAGGGAAGGTGATGATTTTCTTTCATACGCCCTTGATTCTCTGGTACCCTACCTTGGTGCCATGTTCGGAATTCGCCTCTCTCAAGCTTTGATAGAAGTGCCGCATTTTCGTGCAATTCATTAATACATTTGCTCGCATTTTCTGCGCCGCCGGAGTCACCGTATTTCATAGACCGAATTTTTACGATTCGGTGCGACCCAGCTTATCTTTGTTAAATCCGATCTACCACAACCGAGATCTTTGACAATCCCCTACATGTGATCCGGCCCAGTTCATAGCGGCAAAAATATTTTGTGGCACGTATGACACCCGTATCAAAACATTATCTTTCAGCCCAATTTGGCAAAGCTTGTCAAATTCATTAAAAGTGGGCAAATCTAC